CTAGATTGACTTAGAGATTTATTTCAAAGCATCACACTGTGTGCATGCGAGACCAAATCATCCATACATACAGATATTTAGTTGTTTTAAAATATAGGATAGATTAGCCTTGCAGTATTGTTATTTCATAGTTGTTGCCATACATTTTACCCATGTACGACTGTCCAACAATAAAGTCAAATGCATTTATTCCTGTATGCTAGTCAGTGTCCGCCTTTCCATCATTTGATGGGATTTTGTAGCTCATGTCATGATGGATAAAAATTTTGCAAATAAGTGTGTAAAGATACCGGTATATATGCATGGAAAGAGATGTCAATAACTTATTCTACTAGCAAAATTAGCCTCTCAAAATGCAAGAATATTGCGTTTTACTTAGAGAGGGACTTTTTTTCTCTATTTCTTGTAAATTTGAGGTTCGGTATTTACATATGAGAGAAGCCTTAAAGAGTGTGTGTGTGTGTGTGTGTGTGTGTGTGTGTGTGTGTGTGTGTGTTGATTCTACCAACAAAATTTGCCCCTCAAAATGAAATATTGTGTTTAAGAGTGCTAAAATACAACAGAAAATGATTTCCCAGCTCATTGCTATCCCAACCTTCCCCATGACTAATGACACAGACTGTACAGCCGCCATGCCTGTAGATGTACATGGGTGTGTTGATGGATACAAATCTGCCCAGTCCTGGTCTGTACTACAGCAGGTCACAGTACTTTGTGGGGAGATGAGAAATGCCCTTATGAACCAGGAATCAATCTTGCCGGGGGTGAACGGGAGGCCAGTGCACTCATTAGTCTACCTGTGCACATCTACGGCTGTGCTATTGGGGTAAATCACGGAGAGTCACGGCTTGTAACGTCATTAGACGGGCCAAATGGCTTTTGAAACTAACCAGTTCCCAACCTACGTAACAAGTGGAATTGAACCATACATTATAACCAGTAATATGATACATTTTCAAGGAAAAGTAATGGATTTTCCTGGAATTATCATGTTTTCCAGGAATCAAGACGAATCCTCCAGCATATAACCAAGATACAATCATTTATGATAAATGCTCAGAGCTACATGTATTTACTTTGGTATCGCTCCCTGAATAGAATCTAATACATTTTGTCCTCGGGGTAAATTCAATCCAATTTCTTTTGGGAGACAGATGTACTGTAAAGATAGGTACATGCTAAAAGAGGGTTTTTAAAAATCTTAGAAACAGTAGTGGAAACCATAGTAAGCCCCACATTCTGATATATATATATGCATTATGACTTTGTACAGGGTTGATTCATATCACGACTGGTACAATGTATATGTGGCTTTGTTCTTCATAAAGAAAAATGAAGCAAGAAATCTGAGAATCAAGAAATTACATTGGTGTAGCCTAAAGACAACATTTCTTCATCAATCCTTGGAGAAATAAGTTGTATGTCTCTTGAGGAGAAGGGTTTTGAAAAATTAAAAAGAAAATGGAAGGAAAGGCGAAAGTTGTGCAAGGAATAGGGAAAATGATAGCATAGAAACTTATATATCAGCAGCTCCCCCTATTAAATGAAATGAGTAATGTCCAAATTCTATTGTAGTTATAAGTTAGTCCTAAAATGACCAAAGGATTAGAGAATATAACATTAACAGTCACAATTTATCCAAGAATGGTTGAAAATTCATCACAAGACCTCCCTTTCTTCTATTTCATTTTTTATTTAATGTTTCAGACCAGGTCTCAAAGCCAATCCACGACAATGCATGTTCTTTTACTGAATGGGATAAAAGAGCCCCCTAGTAGCGATGATAGGTATTGCAGAGTTGACGACTTTCCCTTGTAAATCATCTCTGCTACAGTAAATAAAAAGCAAATCTTGCAAATCACACAAATTCTTAGGATGATAAACAAATAGCTGGCAATAAGTCAGAAATAACGGTCTGGTAACTTTTGTTACTAGTAACTTTTTGGAGAAAAGTTACTAGAACTGGTTGACGTTTGTACGTTTGCAAGCGTACGTGAATAAAGAGAACCATGGGTACATCTCATGGTCGTAACAAAAAAAAAACAAGTCTAGTAAAGCAGGGCATAGGTGAGAAGAACCATTGTGGTCTTTCTACATGTGACTCCAAGAAACAAACAAACAAACAAACAAACAAACAAACGGCAGTAGTGAGCATGGTGGTTAGAAAATGTGAGCGGAGAAAAGTCTAAAGAACTACCTTCGAAAATGTCCTCGACGGATTGCTCTCCTTGATAGCAGACCGGGGAGGGAGGAGAGGGTTAGCGCCCCGCAACAGCGCACAGAGAGACAGACAGACAGACAGACAGTGAGCTGTTAGCCAGAGAAATAGACCAGACAGAAAAGCTGGAACAGGGTTTGCACAACACCGAACATTCCTGGAATTTTGTGGGAAGGTAAAATAAAGGAGAGAATTTTCCGGGAAAATGGTTACATTTTCCAGGAATTACAGTTTTTGGATAAATTTTCCAGGAATTATCAGATAAATTTTCCAGGAATTGTCAGATAAATTTTCCAGGAATTGTCAGATAAATTTTCCAGGAATTAGAGGAATTTTCCAGGAATTATCCACTTTTCCAAGAATCACTATCAATGTTTTCCAGGAATTACATGTAGGATGAATTTGATTTTCCTGGAATTAGGATTATTGATAATGGTATAAGAATATGGAGGAGTTATAAAATACTTTCTAAATCTCGAGATACTTTCAGCAATGGATATTCCAGAAATACAGAAGGAAAGCGCTATATGTATGTAAATGGTGTTTTTCTGAACAGACTTTCCTAGAACATTTTTTCCAGTCCAATTCCAGGATGTTCCACAATGTGTGCAAACCCATGGAGAAATCCACAGGATAGTCCACTACTGAGGGGTTAATGCTTGACATGCATGGAAAAAGAAACAAGAAAGTCTAAATATATGATTCTGTCTTTATCGAGCAGACCGTGCAAGGAGAGAGGGGGGAGGGGGGCACAATACTTGTCACCAACATCTTCCAGAAAACTTCAAGACACTGAAGACAGGGGGTTCTTCTACATGCTTTATAGTTAACCAGCAAACCATGCATTGAGTCATTGATACATCCATACCCATGGGAGGTTGGAGAAAACGTAAAAAACGACAGGACCAAGGCGGTTCTTGTACTCATGGGGGGATACTGGGAGGAGTGAATATACACTTGTGGTTGGTACCTGGCACGGTGAATTCACCACTTTTATTATCGTGGTCGCCTTGTACAGCGAAGGGACCACACAGGGAAGACGCCAGCCAATAGCGTGGTAAAGAAGTGCGTTAAAAAAAAACAGTGGAACATGTCATGGACTGACGCAGCATAGGGCTGACCCCTGCACTCTGACCTCTGAACCATGCACGCACGCATCTTGCACTCTGACCCCCGCGTACAGAACGGCACACATGTTCACAGACATTCATCGAACATTGCTGTACATGTACAAATGTATGTATGCAAGATGTATGCCAAAACTGATGACTCACAAACCAAGAAACAGGCATGCCAAGTGACACAGCAAAAGACTCAATAACACAAAGTGCCTTGTGTGATCGTATGTTCCTCCCTATCCACAGCACCAACAATCTTAACAACGCCAAATAAAATCCACTACATTACAAATGGTACGACCCAATTATAACTACCACAAATGTACACTTGGGTGATTCCACTTGAATTAGAGGTAAGTCACGATGGTTGGTGCTGATAGGAGGATATGATATATATATAATGCTGGGTGGTCGCCATGCATAGCCATTCTATAGCACTTTAAGAGCGCTCAGCCTTTTTACCAGCTTCCAACACAAGGCCATGCTGATCACAGTATGTGTACGGTGCCCAAAACATGGCAGTGGTTCGAAGTGGTAAAAAGGTGGTGTTTACATACGGGGCTCGTGTTCTGTAGCTACTGCACGACTGTAAAACTGACAACATGCTTGGAAAGGAGAGAAAGAGAGAGAGACAAAGGAAAAGAGAAAGAGAGAGAAACCCATCGTCAGAGGAAATTTCAACGGATTGGATAATTATGATAAAAAAGTGGATTTAGGAAGCAACGTATGCTCAGCTGTGAGAAATGAGAGCTTACTAAACCAAGCAGGAAGAAAAACTTATACTTACAAATTCACAAGTACACCGTTTTGGAAAGAAGTCCATAGAGGGACTAGTAGGGGAGGGTCTAAAACTACTTTGCTTACGGGTAGGTTCTTCACCTTACAAAGTGTGTGTACATGTGTGTTGGGGATGGGCTACATTTGTACTGTGATGTCTTAGTTATTGGAATATGAAAAATATTATGAAAGACCAGATAAAATGCTATTCTACTGATCTACAAGACAGTCTATAATGATCTAGTAATGTTTTTTTTTTCGAACAGGGCTCCCACTTCATTTCACTATCAATATTAGATATTAGTAATAAGGAATTTTTGACAACAAGACTAGACAAACTATAAGCTGAAGACTTGGAATAAATTGATAAGGAAGAAGGTAACTTTTCATTTTATGGCTCTTTGGTAGCAAACACAGTATTTACAATTTGAAATAAATTGTAATTTCGTTCGACTACATTTTAGTTTTAAACATCCATGTTCACTTTATTATAAAAGTGTATAATGTTCTGTGTATACTGCAGTTGCTTGCTAAATAGCAAATATTGTTATCTGTTCAAAGTTTTTTGGCTGGGAGAGCAACTAGCATGGTACATGTGTGTATTTTTACACATGTTTTGTCGTGATGTATAGCTAATCCAAATATACGATATAAAAAAATCAAATCTGTTGTGGGAACCCTGTTAGGTGGGGAAAGTACAGGAATTTGTATGAAAATCAGGGATTTTTCAAGTACTCTGTTAGTCTACCCTACTCTAAGAAAAACAGCATGCAGACCATGTAAAACTCCCGGACAGTCTAGCAGCACCACCCAGCATCATACGATGGAACTGCAGCACAGATGGTTAACAGTGGAACAGACAGACACAGGTGTAAAGGCTAGCCTACCCTGGAAGAGATAGTCCTCCGTGTGCTGGTCGGGGTTCTCTGTGTTGCCTACGATGTCGAAGGGAGACCTCCCCGCAAGCATCTCAAACAGGAGTACACCCAGAGCCCACCAGTCAACACTCGAGCCTATGGAAAAATTCAAAAAGTTAAAGCGATATTATGTAAGAGTTTTGCACCAAAATTTAGATAATCAAAACTTTCTCATCTAGATATTTTCAATAATCTTCAACATATTAGGGTCGCTTTTTTGCTTTTCCGGCGACTCAGCGCAGCATGGGAATAAGTTGCGCCAGGCCCGATGTCTTTTTAGGAGGCTCCTAAAAGAATGTAAACAAACAATGGTTTTTGTTCAGGTACATGTATCTTCGGCAGCTTCCAACACATTTTTGTGGTGCAATGATGTTGATCTTTTACTCCCCAAATATCATTATGAACCTAGGTAGGCTTATAGCGCAAGACAATGTGCCAAACAACGATGTCTAAATTAGTGAAAATATTTCATAATATTGCTTTAAGGTCATATGAGAAAGAAGAGCAAGGATATCACACCTCTCTAAGATATTCAGAGTTCCTGTGAATTTCTTCTATAATTATGTATACATTTGCAGAAGGAGAACATACTGTTTATGCTCTGTTTCTTTTTCTTCTTCTCCAAACAAATAAGGTCAATGACCTGGACCTGATGCCTGTCACCATGGTAACTGGTGCTGTAGCAGACACCCTGTGGTGTTGGATTACATTATGTAGCAAATACTAGTAGCAGGACAGAATTGGTCGAAAAAAGCTGCATGGGGAAATTTTCCCCACAGTACAATGAACCTGTATAAACTGCATAACTGTACAGATTTGTGTCTGTCTTCTAGATAAACTGATTGAATTCATTTGAGCTAAACTGATTTTTGAGATGTCTTTACTTTTAACAGAAGTTAATGGGGACTTACAGCACGTTGGCAGAACGTACTGCGCCTAAAAGAACCCTGTATTTTCACAATTTTCGGTGGATTTTTGGTCAACGTTGCATCAGAATGTTGCCTGTTGCAAAGGATATCTTTTCCTACATAACATTTGGAAACTACAGACGGGATGTTAACCTTATATGTGCTAGTATGACCTTATATGAGACGTTCTGCCAAGTGCTATGTACAATACATTACGGGTTTCGCGCAGGTTCAGTGCGTTCTGCCGACGCGCTGGGACTTACCATAGTCCTCCCCCCTGAGTATCTCTGGTGCGATGTAGTTTGGAGTTCCACAGAAGGTGCTGGTGGTGTCACCAGGATGCAGACCCTCCTACACAAACAGAACAAACAAAAATACCAGTAAAAATCACAAGAACTGTACAGTTTTGTACTATAGGGACTATATTTTAGTCCAAACAAACAAAAAAATTCCAGCTTTGCTGGTGACACAAATCAGTCCATCTTTTAAAGAAAAATCTTGGACCTTTAGATAAAAAGTGGTCCAAAAAGTGAACCTTTGAGCCTTGTGAGGGGGTTCGTCCAAACATCCCGAACCCCCCTGGCTCAGGCATGCATATGTTATGCTTTTTTGTATATACCAGAAACAACTAGTCTTACTGCAGTACCACAGACACTTGATAGGGGGTGCAGTGACAAAGCTATACATGTGTTACCTTGCACATGCCGTAGTCGGTGAGCTTGACGTGACCGTCGGAGTCCAACAGGACGTTGTCCAGCTTCAGGTCTCGATAGACGATCCCTCGCTCGTGGAGGAAGTTTAAGGCACAGGAGATCTCAGCTGCATAAAACCTACAAAACAAAAATTTCTCAACTGTTATATCAGTTTTCTTTACAATTTTTAAATCTGATTCAGTGAACCAACAGGGTTTAGTCAGATTCAGGAAACCATTGGCTCAGATTTGTTTCAAAGGCATCAAAATGCAATTTCAAAGCGGCAAAACAGAAAATATTCTGGATAAGAAAATCTGTCTGATATGGACAATGTCATTTACTGCCATTTCCTCTTAACCTCAACTTACTACAATAAAAAATGAACAAACAATTGACTTTAAAAATCTAGTACTGTTTTACTGACTTGAATTTGCTTTGAGTGTGAAAAGCTCTGGGTTCTTTAATAGAAAATTAAAGTTTGCTGAAGACAACTTGTCGAGCAGACTGACAGCAAAATGTTACCTAGCATGGTCTTCTGGTAGTTTCCTCTGCCTCTGCATATGGAACATCAGATCACCTCCGTTCACAAACTCTATCACAAAAAACAGCCTGAAAAAACACAGAAGGTCAATGACCTGGACCAGGTGTCTATCACCGTGGTAACTGGTGCTGTAGTAGACACCCTGTGCTGTTGGACTATATTATGTAGCAAGTGGCACTGAACAGAGGGGCTGGTCACCATATGAATGTGAACATGTTTTTGGTAAGAATAAACAGAGCTGTCAGTTGCTGGGAACTATATTGTACACTACAAACAGACATGACTGTAACGCTTTAAATTTTGCTGAATGTAAATGACGCCACATTATGCACTTTACTTCTTACAGGTAGCCCCTCCCTCCCATACCCTATATAGCTACTAGCTGCCGTATCTTTGATATTGTGTTCAACTATATTCATCACTCTGGAAGATTTTACCAATCTTATTAATGCTATGCTATAGGTATTGGTGCGCCAGACACTTCTATTTTATGTTTATGTTATATTTTATGTCATCTTTATGTTTACATTTGTATTATGTTTTATGAGCAGCAGATTCACATAAGCACAAGTGCTTCCTATCTAATGCTCAAAAATCCATGTGAATAAAATAAAAATAAGTGTAAATGTAACTTTCTAGGTTGTGTTTTTCCTACCTGCTCTCTGTCTGGAAGCACGAGTGAAGTCCCACCAGGAAGGGATGGTTGGACGCCGTCTCAAACACATGCTTCTCTGTCTGCACCCAGTCTATATCCTGTCATAAACATTAATCACGAATTTAGTAGGAAGTTTATTGCAAATAGTTGCCCGAGGGCTAATTGCAGTTACATACAACATAAGAAAGAAAATACAGTGGTACATGTATGTGAGACTATATCTACGTCTAGCATTATACTATATTCTACAACATAGTCATGGTACTAGTTACTGGGTTTGACTTCTTTTTAGGCAATGGAAGACGAATTTACCCACTTCTCCTATAATATGTGGGTTCTTTAATCTTAGTAGTAAAATTGTTTTTTTGTGGTAGGGAATGGTGGGGAAGTAAGGGAGCATTTTGGACACGGTGGTAAATAATTGTTTTCTGATGTCGTCATAAAATGGACAGTTAGAGATGAAATGAATAATTTAGTAAACAAAGTTTGTTCTACAAACATGTGGTATACATGTAATGCATGTATATGATACAGTGCACCAATTTTATGCAATAGATACAGACGATATGAATAGATATGCTTAAGGTTATCCTCAGTTCTACTATGAGAATAAACAAACAAACAAACAAACAAACCTCGTCATCGTTGACCAGTTCTTTCTTGACGACCTTCATGGCGTAGATACCTGGGTTTTCCTCAGTTTGACCATGAGAAAAAACAAACAAACAAACAAACAAACAAACAAACACACAAACCTCGTCATCGTTGACCAGTTCTTTCTTGACGACCTTCATGGCGTAGATACGCTGGGTTTTCCTCAGTTTGACCATGAGAACCTTAGCGTAGCTGCCTCGCCCAATCACACGCAGGAGGTCAAACTCATCCAGCCCGATGTGCTGGTCAGAACCTCCGGACGTTGCCTATTCAAAAAAAATCATCAAGAATTATAAAATGTACAAGAATACAAAAACTCCTAAGGCCACAGCAATTTATTTTCTGGGCCTACTGTGGCATCTTCTTGCAAAAAAAAAAAAGAGGCTAAGATAATAATAGAAGGCTGGGAAAAAACTTTCCCAAATAAATAATACAGAAATAAAGGAAATGATAACATAACATTGTACTGTGTAACAGCAACACAAAGAAGAACCAAACATATTCCACATATCTTTGAACTTAACATGTACAGTTAGTAACATGAACCTTGAAAGCAATTATATACTAGTGCCAGGTACAATGATCTTTCTGGTTAAAATAATTCTTTTTCATGCAAAAAAAACCCTCTATCGATCTACTGACAACCTGAAAAAAACAGTCATGAAGTCTGATAAATGTCTAAATTATATGCAAAGCACTTGGTAGTTATTCACTACACAAGAAACACTGTTGATGGCTGGACACTGGTGTCACATGCATGGCAGCAGCACATCGGCAGAACGTACTGCACCTGCACGAAACCCATAATGTATTGTACATAGCTATAGCATTTCGACAGAATGTCTCATATAAGGTTGTATTCGCTCATATGAGGTTAGCATTTCGACAGTAGTTTCCAAATGTTGTGTCGGAAAGAATATCTTCTGCAACAGGCAAAATTTTGATGCAACGTTGACCAAAAATCCACCGAAAACCGTGAAAATACAGGGTTCTGCGCAGGCGCAGTAGGTTCTGCCGACGTGCTATGTATGTACATGTCCACTGATGATTGACACCTGTCTATCACAGGTTTGTTTGTTTGACACCTTACCTCAACCTCCTCCTCAAGAAGAGGCTGAGCACCCTGTTTCCACGGCAATAACACAACAACAACAAAAACAACAACAAAACGTATGGTGAGTACGGAAAATGGACAACAACTGAAAACTGAGGACAACAGTGTACACATATACAACGAAATGGAAACAAATGGGAAAAGATAAAGACAAATTCAGGTAAAGGATGAATTGGAAAGATTCTTACAACAAAAAGCTTCAACTCATCATAATACACTGCCAAATAATAACTGTTTTAGATAATTCATGCTAGTTATAAGTTTGTATGAATGCAGAATGGAATGCAATAGCTAAGTTTGTAAACGAAAATCTTTAGCGATTTAAACAATTAGACCTTGCAAAAAATACAACCAGCGCCCTAACTGATACATGCTGTAAGTTGATAAAATTTCAACGAAGCAGCATGGAAAAACAAAAGGTCATATCCTGGTGAAAAATATTTGAAGTGTGTTTCGAGTTCTGTTTGTATGCTGTTTCCCTACCATTCCTTTGCAATGCTGTCATGATTTTAGTTTTTGGTCTGTATGTTATTATCATAAGTTTGTTGGTCAGGCCCCTGGAAGCTTGAAGGCCAACACCTCTATGTCAGGTGAATTAGAAACACCTGTTAATTTATGTATGTTTACTAATTACATTGTACATAGATCAATCATAGTGTTGCAGGATGTAATTTCCATAGAATCCTGAGCTCCTATTGGTGGTTCTAGGATTTAGAATGTTTTTCTGGGGTTGGAGTGAGGCAACAAGTCAGGGCTCTAGCCAGCACCCGTTTTTCCAGTCACTTGCAGGAATTAAAAAAAAAAAAATCTGTCATCAGATGGACACAATTGACAAAAATCTTGGATAAGAATAAACAAAAACACTGCTAATAACCACTCTTAACCCCATGATTGCTTCTCAAAATGTGGGATATTGTGTTTGTAAAGGCTTGAAAATCCAAAATTTGTCCGCGGACCTGTAGATTGTGAGCACTCTCCCCCCAGGTCTGATCATGAACCTGGGCTGATGGAAAAAAACAAAAATTGAGCTGGCCAGAGCCCTTCCAAAACGCTCTCTGGAAGGAGGCCCACGAGCTACTTTAATTCCTGATTTTTTCACTGTACTTTTAAGTTCACTGTTTTCACTGTCACCTGTGAACTTATCATTACAGTTAACAAATAATTCCTGGACTTTCTCTTTCCTGCACCAGTCGCCACCGTGTTATATATAGTTCCATGAACATGTCCACTTTTCTCAGACCGTGAACTTTTGCTTCCATGAACGTACATGTAAATTGAATTACAGTACTTCCAGCCCTGCATGCTTTTTCCCTAACTCCCCCACCCCTGGGGCAGCACTCCCCCACCCCTGGGGCAGCACAATCCCCTGGGTCAGGCACGACACGACACACCCACCTCCTTGGCAGTCGTGCCGTCGTGATTTTGGTTTTGGTTTTGGTCAGTGGTTTGTTGGTCGTGGTTAATCTCGGGTTTTTCCACCACCTGTTCTTCCACGTCCTGCTCCACTAACTCTACCTCGGCCGGGTCCAGAGGAGGCTGAGCATCCAGGATGGTCAGTTCTTCCTCTTCCTTCACTCAGGCCAGAAGACGGGAAGAGAAGAGAGAGGGAGAGAGGAGAGAAGAGGGACCACAGGAGAGTTTACTACAACGTGTGGTGTTTGTGTGCTTTAGGAGAGAGCGACGCCTGATCAGTCAGACTTTGGAAACAGACACCGAGTTTTGTGCGGTCGACTTTTTGAAAAGCATCAACGTTTTTCAATCCAGTTTTTAAATAGTATGTTCCACCCAGTTTTTATATAGTACTGGTAATTTTAATAACAGTCCGGCACCTGTTAATTGAGGTTCAACTGGCAACTGCCTAGAATATCAGTAAAGCAAGAGTTCTGGCTGGTTCAGAGACACACAATCCTCTGTAATGGGATGTTCCAACAGTCATTCATAGGTTTGATTGCTGGACAGGTACATTCTCTAGTCTGCTTCCGAGAAATTTGTGACACCCAAAATGATGACTGACTTGAAGTCATCCAATGTAATTTCAGGGAAGCAAAACAAGAAATATTTAGGATAGGAAAATCTGTCTAATTTTTGACAATTTTTACTGCCATTTCTTCAGTGTATTTTCAATCATTTTAAACTTGAAACACTGTCCTGGGAACACACAAAATAGATAGCTTGTACAAGCCTACAATATCAAACAAGTAACTGTTTTCCATCAGTTACATCAGACTTTTGCCACACAGATACATGTTTCAGTATTCTATTATACTATTAGGGTCAATGAAACTTAGCAAACTACATTTTAAAAGAATGACCAGAAAATTGACTTTGAAAATCCAGTCTTGCCGCCCTGAAATTGCATTGGATGTCTTGAAAAGTATGTCTGAATGAGGAAAGGAGCCAGACTGTTCTGTTGGAAAGCAATGAGAGGAGCAAAGTAATTAATAAGGGTAGGATGGATGCCTGGGCTTGAATCTCAGAAGCTTTAAGGGTTTCTGTTCCAAGAGTCTGCAGATCAGGCTGAGGTCAGTACAACTGGTACAAGACTCACGGACACAACAACAGTCCTGCAAGGTTCCACCACGGCATGCAGCGTGACACAACCACATCACAATCACATGCCAACAACACTACAACACTCTCTACCTTCTATAGCTAAGCCTTGTACATCTCTTTGATATACAACAATGAACATGCAATGGAAAAATGGAGACTGTCCACAAAATTTTTCTATGCCAGGAAACCATGCTTCAAGTTCAAGTACGTGGAGCAGTCTTTAGCCGACTTGCTCTTGGCAAATTTGGCACATTTTCCTGGAGAAAAGAAATCAGAAGTAGAGTCTGCAAGCTCAAAACTCAAAAAAAGGTCACAGGTCACCAACTGACCTGACCCATGGCTTGCCAAGCACAAAGTTTAAAGGTCATAGGTCACCGACTGACCTGGTCAATTCTCTGATAGGCGGCACTACCTAGGGACAGAGTGGAGTAGGAGAAGGGCAGGGGGCAGACTAGGGAACACTTGGACGACTGGAAACAACGTTTCGTGATCAGAAATGTTTCGCATGTCACCACAACACATGAAAAAACACATACATGAAACAAGTCGTTACGGTATGTTTTTTTTCAAACCGTTAGGAAACAGAAATTACAAAGATCGCCGTGCAAACGGAAAAGACACTCAGAGGAGGAGGGGGTTACAGACAGGCAGGGGGGGAGGGGGA